ATTCCCCAGGTGAATGAAGTGGGGACATTTAAAGATGAATTCATCTCTCTAGGGGTCATAAAACTTGTACGTGGTGAATCTAGAATTTGTATCTAGACTGAACTTAGACTCCAGAGCTCACATAAGAAACCCCCACACCATGTATAAAACGGACAAAAAAGGGGAGGCAAAAACTGAGTACTCAGCTGGATGGCCATTGCATGACACGAAAGCCCTGCCTGCCTTGACACAGAACAAATATAGGGTGGGTTCTCTTTCCCCAGTTAACCCAGTCTAGAATCTTCCTCACTAGCATGCCCCAGAGGTTTGTCTCCTATATGACTCTAGATCAGTGGTTATCAACCTATGGATCGAGACCCCCAAAGACCTTTGGAAAACACGGATATTCACATTACGATCCATAACAACAGCAAAATTACAGTTATGGTGTAGCCACAAAAAACGATTTTGTGGCTGGGGTCACCACAACTTGAGGAACTGTATTAAAGGGTCGCAGCATTAGGAAGGTTGAGAACCACTGCTCTAGGTCCCGTTACGCTGACAACATTAACCATCACACCTCTGCTCCAGCCCCCTTTCCAGCTGAGTAACTGGATCCTTGGAATTCTTCCACCTAAATGTTCCCAACTGGCCCCTCTCCACTGCCTCTGCTCCCGGGGCTCTGGGGTGGTTTTTCATTGCTTCCCGTGTGAACGGTGACAATTTTCAACTCTCTGGCACCTTGACCCTGCTTTGCTTCCTCATCCCAGCTCCATCTATTTTCATATCACAAGTAAAATGATTTCTCTAAAGTGCAAATCCACTCAGTTTTCTGCTGAAAAATCTCCTGAAAGCTTAGCTCCCCATCACTTTTTAAATCTACTTAACTCAGCTCCAGGCCAAGGGTGCACAGAACACGCTGTGGCTGCTGGTCCTGGACAGCTGGGGTGAGGGCAGATGGGTAAAGTGTAGCCCAACGACTGTGCCATGTCACAAATGCAGTGAGGAACACACAGGATGCTTCCAGCCCACTTTACAAGATCACTGAAGACATCAGGCTACAGCATCTGAACTGAAGGTTGTCATGGGTGGGGAGGGACAGAAGACTGGCTTGGTTTTCAAGGATCCTGAAAAAGGAGGTTGAGAAAACCTGAGGATGTTTGAGGACAAGCACAGGCAGGGACCAGAAGATGGGGGCACGGGGTGTGCTACACTTCCCTTTGTGGGATGGGGGGGGGGTTGCTATGGTCCTTTAAATATATTTTAGTACATTAATTTGTGTGTTTGGTGTGTGTGTGTGTGTGTGTGTGTGTGTGTGTGTTTTCATGCACATGCCACAACCCATGTATGGAGGCCGGAGGATGACCCGAGGGGATTGTTTTTTGCACTCCACAGTATGGGTCCTAGGAATAAAACCCAGGTCACCAGGCTTGGTTGTGATTGCCTTTATCTGAACTGCTGAGCCGTCTCCCTGGCTCTCTAAGCACCGTTATATGAGAGAAAAAAAAAAACATTTTTTAGCATTGTATGTGTACAGGTGTTTTATCTGCATGCGTGACTGTACATCATATGTGTGCCTGGTGCTCGAAAAGGCCAGAAGAGGGCATCAGATTCCTTGGCACTGGAGTTATAGATAATTGTGAACGACTATGTTCGAGCTGAGAATCAAACCCAGGTCCTCTGGGAGAACAGCCAATGCTCTTAATCATGAAACCACCTCTCTAGCTCCTCTATGGGCCCTTGAAGAGGACATGGGGCTGGTATGGTGACATCTGCGGCTGTGTCCTGGCTATAGCAGAGAGGACAGTATGTGAGAGCCAGCTGTTCCTTCACCTGATTCATGTCCGGAACACTCTGTGAGAGTCATGGGCAGCGTGCAGCCAGCAGCAGGCCTTGCTCGCTGCAAGGACGTGGGGCAAGCAGCATAGTCACATGACCCACCCTGCACAGGACAGTGCAGGACCCGGGGAGCAAATTGGAGAATGGAGCAATGGGAGACACTGAGGGATGCTCCAGTTTTCTCAGCCCTCTCCTGACTCACAGGGGTTTTTTGTTGTTTTTATGTTCCACGTCATTCTGAGAAATGAAAAACTCAGATAATTAAAGTTTTAGAATGACTGTTATTCATCTCTCATGCAATGCTAGGATTAAATCCCGATGTTCAGAAACAGGATGTGCATGGGGAAAGACCAGAATGTCTTGATTCTTTCATAGCTTGCACGTGTAACTGGTGCACAGGTCTTTGCACCCACCAATGATGGACTGACACCCAACACCTCCTCAGCATGTTTCAGTGGCTTCTAGATGTCATGTGTGTCCCAAATGCTCTACCTCTGCAGCCTCTTGATTTGCAGAGAACAATAAAAAGGATATGCCATGTGCATTTAAGATGGCGGCACCGGGTTCATCGGTCATTTGTGGTTTGCCTTCGGTGTTCAGTCCTTCACTGACACTGTGGTGACAGGGTTTACTGAGCTCTGGTTTCGGATTTCCTTGCAAGCTTGTGTTCCCCATCAGTACCCGGGAGAAGGTAGCAGGGAAGGTCCATGAACGGCCAGGTGTGCCTCTAGACTCTACTGTTCATCTCATTGCTTCAAGGGCAAAATTATCAAGAATTTCACAATGACAAGAAATCATGAAAGCAAGCAAGAATCACTGAACCAAGCAAAGGGACCATTCATTAAGCTAAGCAAAGAGATCCTGAAGGCAGGTCCCGCCCTTCTGAGCTCAGGCCCGTGTGACAAGGCAGGTGGGCACAGCCCACAGCTGCTGGGGAAAGGCTGGGATGTGGGCACTCCTGTCGGTTCTAGTTTGATGAACTGGGGAGCCTGGCTCGACCAAGTGCAAAAGAAGCAGTCCCCAGCCAGTGTCTTGTGTTGCAGAGTTCACACACTACTCCTCGGTCACCTCTAGCCTGTGCCATTGGTACAGCCCGCTGGAGTGTGCTGCTCCAAGCCAAGCACAGGCTTCTGGCCACCAGACCAGCTGC